AGTAGAACTGACTATTGTAATTAGTGTGACAGCTGAATAAAGTTTTCCAAATGTGGAGTTTGGATGATGCTTACAATGGGTAATTTAAACAACTGATTTTTCCTTAACTCAGCTAGCTACAGGGATTTTAATTGTATGAGTGCTGGTTAAAGATGTACTTCTTGCACAGGTTCTGCAACTTACATGTGGCATTTACTTTCAAACCACCCACTTGTTATGTTATTCATATATGTTAATCAGCAGTGTCCAAATGTCAGAGACATTTGTCTTCTCTTCCCATTCAAACTGGTACAGTAGCATAAAATCTCATCATTCAAGCACTTTTTCCTTCTTTTGTTATTTACTAGGCTTGATGTGAAAAATCATTTTTAATTGAACTTCATGAAATGCACAACATAGCCAGCATTCTTTTTTAGTCTGCATTATGAGCCCGAATCTTTCCTTGTGTTCTATAGATTTGTTAGAAGAGAAAGGAGCCAAGGTGGGTATTGCTTCCCTGAGCTTTGTTGTGTACTGGTGCAGCAAGAGAGTAGAACGCACTCTTAGTACATGATTCTCTGCTCCTTGCACCGTCTCTAGTCATGTGGACAAGTGCAATGTGCATGTAAAACACTACCATTCCTAATAATGTCTTATGAGACTCACAGATTAACTATGTATTGTGTGAAAACATAACTTTACTACTACTGAACCAAATTTCTACAAACTTGGCTTACTTTTCAAGACTCAGAGAGAGAGCTATAAAACAAGCCAAGTTTGAATGTTTAGCTTCTGCTAACTATTTCAGTAGAGCAACACTTCTGATCAGAAAGTTTCAGCAAAATACTTCTTCAAAGATCACCTATGACAAAAGGCAACATAGCGCAAAGGTCTGCAGTGCCTCTTAGGAAAAGAAAATTATTTTTTATTTTCAATTTCCTGTCATTTCAGAAATCACTGTCTTTCGTTGTGAATTAACTAGAGGTAAATTCTTTATATAAGGTTCATCCTATTTTTAATGAAGTAGGTTTCTAAGAAGTAATGGCTAAATTCTCTCCTGATGTGAATTTGCACAACTCCGTTGAAATGATGGGCATTTACATCAGTAGAGAATCTGGCCCAATATTATTAAACTATACAATATGGATGAACATTAACATACAAGTCATTTTTCTGATTATATTTAAAAATAGAAATGTGACATCTAAAATTTATAGTCATAAAATTGAATCACTAATCTCAGGATTTTACAACTAATTTATATCTTTTACATGTCACAGATTGTTCAGTTGACCTTGTTGTTGATGTTACTTTTATTTATACCTCAAAGAAATTCTTGATTATACATTCTTTGGACAAAGGGTAACCTTAAAAGCATCATAATCTGACTGAAAAAGATACACAGATAAAGTATGAACAAATTAATAAGATTCATTCATTGCTGCATTTAAAAACAAACATGAAGAGAGTTAGCTGTGTTTTTTTAAATCAGGCAGAAGGCAGGGTAGATTTGCCCCTTAAAGACCAGGGGCAGGAAAAAATACAGCCTGTGCCCACTTGCACTGGGGCAGCTTGCACCAGGCTCCTGCTGGTGCCCACAAGCCCAAGCCCCAGGCCAGCATGCAGCTTTTGCCAGGGATGTTCCTAGTGTGGCTGCAGCCGGATGCTGCTCTGCACCCCGCACCTCTGGCAATGATGCCTGCTTTTGATCTTTCCCCTGCTGCACTGTGCCACGCTGAGCGAGCAGTTTCAGCTGGGCAGCTACTACCCCAGCATGCAAGGCTCTGGCTTCAGCTCCCAGCCACCTTCCACCGAAGGCAACCAGGATCTGGATCTGGAGCCCTGAGCGCCTGCTGGGCATGATGAGGTTGCAGCGCAATAGAAGTGAGAGGAGGAGCTGTTACTGGAGGCAGGGGGCACCGAACAGCACCCAGCCAGCTGCAGCCACACCAGGAACAACCTCCCAGAAGCTGCTCTTGCCTCTGCTGCACCATGTCGTGCCACACCACACAGTTCCGGATGGGCCGGTGAGCAGATTCAGTCGGATGGCTCCTGCACCAGCACCGAGGCTTTGGCTTAGCTTTCAACCACCTTCCTGGGAACTGGAGCCGGAGCCCCATGTGCTGGGGCAGGAAGCAGCTTCCAGTAGGCTGTTCCCAGGGCAACTGCAGCTGGCCGGGAGGTGCTCTGCACCCCTCACCTCTAGCAATACCTCCTTCTCTCACTCCTGCCACACTGCACCACACCACTCCTGACAGGTGTGCAGGGCTTTAACTCCAGATTCCACTCCCGGAGGTGGGGGGCACAAAGCAGCACCCAGCTGGGCTTAAGTGCTGGTGGGAGTGCAGGGCAGGCTGCCCTGGCATGAGTAGGCAAGGCTTGGCCCCATGCAGGGCAACACAGTGGGGGCAGCACAGACCACCCCACTCTGGGGCAGCTCATCTGCAGCAGGCTCCTTGGACCTAGTGCCCAGGCAGCCCCTGTCCACAAACACACAAGCCCCCACCCCGAGGACAGGGGCATGTGATCCCAGCCTCTCCCACCCCTCCCACTCCACTTTTGAACACTAATTCTTCCCCACAGCTGCACAGAGAGTTTTGGTGAGTTGTGGGGGCAGGGATGCTGACCCAGCCCATTACAGCTGATCAAAACTCCCTGTGTGGCCTTCAGGCCAAATAATTGCCCACTCCTGTTACAGAATAACTAAACAGAGATGCATAAGCAGTGGCTTCATCAGATGCTGTGAAGGGACTGCAGGAAGCTTCTAAATAAAACGCAGTGGTTAGAATATAAAGGGTAGGGAGTGGGGAAGAAAAAGAAGATGCACTGCTGTGAGAGGTAAGGTGGGTAAAAGAGAGGAAAAAAACAAAGCAGTTAACCCACTATGGGACATGGGGGTTATAAAAACTAATCTAGGTAATGGCATAAGAATCCCATTGGTCTTGGTTTAGACCATACTTAATATAATCCAGTCTGTGGATGATTTCTGTTTGCAAAATTTTCTATTCAAGTTTGTTGTTAAAATGTTTTTGTCTAAGAACAGCCCCTCTGAGGTCAGCAGTGGTTTGTCCAGGGCTGTTAAAGTGTTCTGCTACAGTCTTGTGTGTCTTTCTGGAATTGATGTCAGGTCAGTGTCTGTTTGTTCTTACACACAGAGATTGCCCTGTCTGTCCAATGTAGGCAACAGAGGGGGGTTGTAAACAGATGATGGCATATATGAATTTGGCAGAGGTGCAGATAAATGAGGTTGTAATCTGTGTTATTTGGTTCAGTGATGATGTGGTCTGTGTTGATGAGGGGGCAGAGCTGGCATCCAGGTTCGGAGAAACGTCTGGTGGCTTGGTGAGACTAGGAGATAGATAGTCTGATGCTAAAGAGATGCCATTTGAGGCTGTGGTTGTGGGAACTGCCTGTAAGCCAGGACAGATTTGTCCCCAAAGCCTACTTTAAGATTATCATCGTTTTTCAGGAAGGGTTGGATGTGTCAAGGTGTTCAAGCTGGCAGCTGTAGGTGACAACCAGAGGGATTCTGTTGTCCTTGGGATTGGTATTGTAGCAGGTTGGAGCAGGGGCTGAATCTGTCTGTGTTGATTTAAGTGTCTATGGCTTTGTTATTGTAGGACTCCGGGCTGCAGATCCTTAAGTTGTGAATTGCAGTCAGTGGGATTGGAGCAGATAGAGTTGTAACATAGAGCATGTTTGTAGATGTTAGAGCTGTGTGCTTAAGATGAGAGATGTTGTCATGGAGCATTCTGATTCAGTGTAATGGTGATAGGGCCAGTGGCCACTGCCATGTTTCACAGTGGAGTCCAAGAAAAGTATTTGCTGGGTGCAGTATTCCAGAGTCAGTTTGATGGAGGGGTGGAAGTTGTTGAAGTCTTGGTGGAATTTCTCAAGAGATTCTTTCCCATGCGTGCATATGATGATGTCATGAATGTACCTTAGATA